GGAGACCCAGGAGGACCCCACTGCTGACACAGAGACATAAAAAAAGCAAGACTACAGTTTGCCAAAATGTACTTGAGTAAGCCAAAAGCCTTCTGGGAAAACGTCTTGTGGACAGATGAGACAAGATAGAGCTTTTCGGTAAAGCACATCATTCTACTGTTTACCGAAAACGGAATGAGGCCTACAAAGAACAAAACACAGTACCTACGGTAAAATATGGTGAGGTTTCAATGATGTTTTGGGGTTGTTTTGCTGCCTCTGGCACTGGGTGCCTTGACTGTGTGCAAGGCATCATGAAATCTGAGGATTACCAAAGGATTTTGGGTCGCACTGTAGGGCCCAGTGTCAGAAAGCTGGGTTTGCGTCCAAGATCCTGGGTCTTCCAGCAGGACAATGACCCCAAACATACGTCAAAAAGCACTCAGAAATGGATGGCAAAGAAGCGCTGGAGAGTTCTGAAGTGTCCAGCAATGAGCCCAGATCTAAATCCCATTGAACACCTGTGGAGAGATCTTAAAATTGCTGTTGGGAAAAGGTGTCCTTCCAATAAGAGTGTCCTGGAGCTGTTTGCAAAAAGAAGAGACTGGAGCTGTTTGCAAAGGAAGAGTGGGTTCCGGGTGAGAGGTGTCAGAAAGCTTATTGATGGTTATAGGAAGCGACTGATTTCAGTTATGTTTTTCCAAAGGGTGTGCAACCAAATATTAAGTTAAGGGTGCCAATACTTTTGTCCAGCCCATTTTTGGGGTTTTGTGTGACATTATGTAATATTTGCTTTTCTGCCTCTGTTTTATATTTGTTCCAATACATACAAAGGGAATAAACATGTGTATAGCAAAACATGTGTTAATGCAATACCTTTTTTGTGTGAAATACTTGATTTTCAGGAAAAATATCAAGGGTGCCAACAATTTCGGCCATGACTGTATGTAAATCTACAACCTACATACCATCTAGCTTTCTTTTAGAATGGCATAGTTGCAAGAAGGAAGGCATGAGATATGCTCACAAATGGCACCCTGATGTCCAAGGCTAGAAGGAAAAGGTGAACTCGGAGGAAGGAGGGAGGACAACCAAACCCCAAGGAGAGATCCACTTACACAGGGATCACCTGGAAAGGACAGCAGACCCACTTAAGTGTTTACAAGAGATTAAGAATGAGTCTATAAAAATACAATATGAAGCCATTACTCTACAGTTTGTCCTCATAATGACAACACAAAGAAAAGATGATGATGAATACCAAAGTTGTCACAATAAGTGTGTGAGATTAGTCTACTAAGATCCAATGACATATAAACGTAAGTAACATATGTACTGGGATCAGTGTGTATCAAGGGAATATTCAGGATGTTAGATGGACTCCGTGTCTAAAAATAGATATGTATATTTGCAATAATGAAGGCCTAAGCATCTATAAATAAGTGCAGGTCTGCATCACAATGGTCAAGGGACTCTCTATATTTGATAGTATATCAACAAATCAGGTTAAATAAGGATCTGAGTGATTAACTATATCAGTTGTGTTCCACATAAGTGACCAAAGGAATATTGCACTCCTCACTAACAAAAACCTCCCAAGAGGGTTTGACAGTGTAAAAAAGTAAAGCCAGAAAGAAAAAAAGAAATAGTCCATATTTACCTGAATTCCCCAATATTTCTCAACAGGTGAGTTCCTCATATTAGTGGCGATGTGGCATTAAGAAGATCTACCATATGTAACATAGTGTGGGGCTTAAATATGGCATCTAGATGCCCACACATGCGCAGCACCAACCATGAACTGCGCATGCGTGGGTTCACTGTCGTGGCAACCCCCTGAGGTGCCTACCCCTGGTGGTGACCCACCCCGTGAAGGGCAGGACGATGTCACGCGCAGGCAGAACTTTGCACAGAATTAGGACCATGCCTACATCTACAGTACATGTGAATGTGCAGCGCATGCGCTGGCATGTTTGAATATACTTTGGTGCCCAGTGGCCTATTTATGCACTGCAAGGAGTGGTCGCCACCCCAGACCATGCTAGCTCCTGTGCTATACTTGGTTTTTCCTTCTGAATATCCCTGAACTCAATCCCTCTGATCTCTGACCTTTGGCTTGCTTCTTGATTCCATACCTTTCTTACCACTTTGGGTCATCTACTGTCCATGTGATACTGACCTCAGCCTGGCCCCTGTCTACACTCTTGTCTTATGAATCTGTAATTCTGCTGCCCACCCATTGCCAACTTCTGCCTGTCTGATCACATTCTTGTCTCCTGCTTCCTCAAACTCTATGACAGCATCTGGCACGAGTTCCTGTTCCTCAGTTTCTGCTTCATTGCCAGATCCAGTTCTTCTGCTGGAAAGGACTTTTTACAGATGCCTGTGCCACTCCGTTTCCTGTCCTACTCTGTCATCAATCTCAGAGGACAAAAAGGACAGCAAGTGCAAGGGAGGAGAGCCCTCCCATCAGTTCAGCCTCTACCAGGTATATGGTATTAAATATAATATCCAATTTTTGGGGATACCCAAAATTCTCCATAGGCAACATTTTAAAACCTTTACAGCTTAGTTTAGAGTTAACCATGAATTACGGCCCTAGAATTATTGCTCTCACTATGACTTTCACAGCAAAACCTCACATACACTATATTGGCAAATGTATTAAGACACCTACCTTTACATGCACATGAGCTTTAATGACTTCCTAGACTGTCCACACGGTCTAGGAGTGTGTCTATGGGAATGTTTGACCATTCTTCCAGAAGCGCATTTGTGAGGTCAGGCAATGATGTCGGATGAGAAGGTCTGATTTGCAGTCTCTGCTCTAATTTGTACCAAAGGTTTTCTATTGGGTTGACGTCAGGACTCTGTGCAGGTCAGTCAAGTTCTTCCACCCTAAACTCGCTCATCTATGTCTGTCTGGACTTTGCTTTGTGCAGTGGTGCGCAGTAATGTTGGAACAGGAACAGGCCATCCCAAAATGTTTCTCACAAAGTTGGGAGCATGAAATTGTCCAAAATGTCTTGGTATGCTGACGTCTTAAAAGTTCCCTTCACTGAAAATAAGAGGCCAACCCCTGAAAAACACCTCCACACCATAATCCCCCCTCCACCAAACTTTACAGTTGGCACAATGCAGTCAGGCAAGTACCATTTTCCTGGCAACTGCCAAACCTAGACATGTCCATCGGATTGCCAGACAGAGAAGCGTGATTCGTCACTCTGGAGAACACGTCTCTACTGCTCTAGAGTCCAGTGGCGGCATGCTTTACACCGCTGCATCCTTCGCTTTGCATTGCATTGAAACCCATTCCATGAAGCTCTCTACACACTGTTGTTGTGCTAATCTGAAGACCACATGAAGTGTGGAGGTATAAGCCGTGTACCGGGGTGGGCTCCCCAGGATACAGTGAAGTCACAAACAAGGAAAGCAACCCCAACACTAGCTTTTGCCACAACAGAATTTTACTTAGATGTGGCAAATAAAAACACAACCACAAATGCTGAGAACGTACAATAAATTTACATACACCCAGCCCAAAGGCTGAGACCCTTGTGCTGTACAGCACGGCGCCTCCTGATGGATGAAGGTAGAGGGTGTAGTAATTTACCTACTGGCGGGCACAACTAAACTGCCACACCTTACCTGTTATTACCCTAAAAGAGCAGGAATCAGTGTATGGGTGTATGGTATGGGCTAGCCTGCGGTGCAGCACAACAGCTTACAATCTTACACAAATCTACAGTATTCCCCCTCCCATAACTGGTCCTGTAGCACGTGCCTGAGTATTCCTTCAGAGCAAAACGCCAGTCTGGCTTGATTTTGTGGGATGTTATCAGCTCTCCAATGTGCAATGTCACTTTAAGTTATGAAGTCCTTCCAATGATCAGTAATAACACTTGTGGCCTGACACAAACAGAGACCCTAACTAACTAACTATAGGCCTGGTCTCAGTCTCTAGGCGCCAACACTGAAATGAGGTGCGTGCACGATCTTACCGACCCGGGTCTGCTTTTCATCCGCTGGTGACTCTGAACAGAACAAATGTCTCTCCAACAAGCATGCGGTATCGCAGTGTATGTTGCTTTGTTCCTCTGCTCTCATCAGCATTCCTGGCAGCAATCTTCCTTTCTCTGAACAGGATCAGGGTCTTGGATGCGATCAGCTTCACTTAGCTGCAGCTCTGGTTACTAAGGGATGCTCTCACACCTGGATGCCATCAGATTCTCTGCTCACACGGCTCCTGCATTCACCATCCTCCAAACATGGCTGCTCTCTCTCCTTCCTGTTTTCTCTAAACCCTGTGTGAAAACCCCACCTCTTCATGAATATAGAAATATCTATGCAATCTGAGGCTGTGTGTGTCAGGGCTACAGGGTGTGACCAGAGGTATGTGACTGACGCAGGGAAACGCAGGCTTCAGATATGTTATAAACAATAAGACAGTTTATTAAAGACTAACAATACAAACATAAACGCAGTGCAATACTAAACATAACACAGTGCAAACGAACCAAACCAAACCACCCACAGATAACAATATATACAATGCAAGCGTCATCAGGCAGGCCGGGTCAATAACAATCGGGCAGGTAGGAACAGGGGGTCAGGCAGAGAATGGTCGGGGTCACAAGCCAGGGATGAAACAGGAGAAGTCAGCAGAGGTCCGAATCAGGCAGGGTCAGCAACGAACAGAGACAGGAACAGGAATGCAGGAACAAGATACAGGGCCCAGGAAAAACACACACCAAGGCAGAGACTGCAGGTCTGGCCATCCCTTAAATACACCTGTATAATCAACTTCAGGTGTTTGGCTGGCTGCAGGGTTGAGTCTCTGATTGCTGGGAGCACCCGCTGGCCAGCCCTGGCACTGCAGCCCACAAGGCAGGTGAGTCCCACCATTACTGGCAAGTCCATTCCTGACAGTACCCCCCCCTCAAGGAGCGGCCTCAGGACGCTCCAAACAGTCCTAGCTGGGCGAAATGTTCCACCGCCCGGGTCTGGTAACTGGCGGGATATCAAAGACTGGCACATCGGGCAGGACTCCGGGCAGCGGCACACACCGGGCAGAGGCACATCGAGCTGGACTCCGGGCAGCGGCATATCGGGCAGGACTCCGGGCAGCGGCACATCGGGCAGGATTCCGGGCAGCGGCACATCGGGCAGGACTCCGGGCAGCGGCACATCGGGCAGGACTCCGGGCAGAGGCACATCGAGCTGGACTCCGGGCAGAGGCACATCGAGCTGGACTCCGGGCAGAGGCACATCGAGCTGGACACCGGATCACCAGGCGGAGCAGCGGGCACCGGGCCACCAGGTGGGGCGACAGGCCTCGGGCCCCCAGGCGGGGCGACAGGCATCGGGCCCCCAGGCGGGGCGACAGGCATCGGGCCCCCAGGCGGAGCGGCAGGCGCCGGGCCCCCAGGAGGGGCGACAGGTATCGGGCCCCCAGGCGGGGCGACAGGCATCGGGCCCCCAGGCGGAATGGGGCACCGGGCCCCCAGGAGGGGCGACAGGCACCGGGCCCCCAGGAGGGGCAACAGGCATCGGGCCCCCAGGCGGGGCGACAGGCATCGGGCCCCCAGGCGGGGCGACAGGCACCGGGCCCCCAGGCGGGGCGACAGGCATCGGGCCCCCAGGCGGGGGGTGACAGGCATCGGGCCCCCAGGTGGAGCGGCGGGCACCGGGCCCCCAGGCGTAGCGGCGGGCACCGGGCCCTCAGGAGGGGCGACAGGCATCGGGCGCCCAGGCGGGGCGACAGGCATCAGGCCCCCAGGCGGAGCGGCGGGCACCGGGCCCCCAGGGCAGACACCGGGCCCCCAGGCGGAGCGACGGGCACCAGGTCATCAGGCACCACAACGGGCATCAGGTCACCAGGCATCAGGTCATTTGGGTCGCCAGTGGGCACCGCGTCATCTGGCAAGGCAGTGGGCACCGAGTCACCAGGCACGACAGTGGGCTCCGAGTCAACTGGCATGACCGCGGGCACTGGGTCAGACATTGGATCGTCTGGCCCGACAGCGGGCATCGGGTCACCAGGCATGACAGCGGGCACTGGGTCATCAGGCATGGGATTGTCTGGCTCGACAGCGGGCATCGGGTCACCAGGTATGACAGCGGGCACTGGGTCACCAGGCATCAGGTCATTTGGCTCGCCAGCGCGCACTGCGTCATCTGGCAAGGCAGTGGGCACCGAGTCACCAGGCACGACAGTGGGCTCTGAGTCAATTGGCACGACAGCGGGCATCGGGTCACCAGGCATGACAGCGGGCACTGGGTCACCAGGCATCAGGTCATTTGGCTCGCCAGCGGGCACCGCGTCATCTGGCAAGGCAGTGGGCACCGAGTCACCAGGCACGACAGTAGGCTCCGAGTCAACTGGCATGACCGTGGGCACTGGGTCAGACATTGGATCGTCTGGCCCGACAGCGGGCATCGGGTCACCAGGCATGACAGCGGGCACTGGGTCATCAGGCATGGGATTGTCTGGCTCGACAGCGGGCATCGGTTCACCAGGTATGACAGCGGGCACTGGGTCACCAGGCATCAGGTCATTTGGCTCGCCAGCGGGCACCGCGTCATCTGGCAAGGCAGTGGGCACCGAGTCACCAGGCACGACAGTGGGCTCCGAGTCAACTGGCATGACCGCGGGCACTGGGTCATCAGGCATTGAATCGTCTGGCAAGACTGCGGGCACCGAGTCGTCTGGCAAGACTGTCGAGTCGTCTGGCAAGACCGCGGGCACCGAGTCGTCTGGCAAGACCGCGGGCACCGAGTCGTCTGGCATCGAGTCACGGAACAGCGGGCATCGAGGCAACTGGCGGAACAGTCGAGTCGTCTGGCAAGACTGCGGGCAAGAGTCAACTGCGGAACTGCGGGCACTGAGTCAACTGGCGGAACTGCGGGCACCGAATCAACTGGCAAGACTGCGGGCACCGAGTCAACTGGCGGAACAGCGGGCACCGAGTCGACTGGCGGAACAGCGGGCACCGAGTCTGGCAAGACTCTCGTCTGGCAAGACTGCGGGCACCGAGTCAACTGGCGGAACAGCGGGCACCGAGTCAACTAGTCTGGCATAATAGGAACATCATCAGTCGTCTGGATCACCGAGTTGGCATCAGGCAGGCTGGGTAGAAAACATCATGCTGGGTAGAGGCATCAGGCTGGATGGAGGCATCAGGCTGGGTGGAGGCATCAGGCTGAATGGAGGCATCAGGCTGAATGGAGGCATCAGGCTGGGTAGAGGCATCAGGCTGAATTGTGGGCGCCGAGGCACCAGGCTGCACCATGGAAGGCAGGTTCTCAGATGGGAGGCTGACCGGTTTGGATACTGGCAGGATGGTATTGGTTGGAAAGAACTTTCGCCTTTTCCTGGTTTTAGTTACCGGAGTACTGTAAGTAAGCGCAGGTTTGTAAATGGATGGAGCAGCTGGAGACAGAGAAGAGCTGGAGGATGGAACAGGGGAGGGAACAGTTGCTACAGAGGGCTTCTTTACAGGGTTAAAGGCAGGATAGGTGCAGCGAGTGGGAACAGGGTACTGACATGCGGTAGATAGCAGGGTATACTGGGCTGTAACTGGAGGTGCTGTTGGGAAAGCAGGAATAGAGCTTTGAAGAAATAGATTTGAAGCAGGACTGGGTTTTTGCAAGCTGACTGAGGCTGGGTGCAACAAGTCTGACCATGTCTGCAGTATGGGTTGAACAAAGCTCAGCTTACACAAAGCCTGTCTGACCAAAGACTGCACTGCGTTTATACAATCCCTTAATACCTGTGGTGAACATGCAGCATAACGCTCCAAGAAGTAATCCACATCATCCTCTAATAACCATACCAGGGACTCTACCTGGTCTGCACTAAATGGCGGCAAAAATTCATCCCTGCATTCGGGGGTACCAGATGAAATAAACTCAGCACAAACCTGAATCAATGGCTGCACCTCAGAGAATTCTGTGCCCTGATCTACTAGAACATGAGTGATCCGTATACATTCTAGCAGTTCATCCCTGGGATACTCCTTCAGAGTCTGATAAGCATACTCTCTATCATCAAACACTAGCAGAGATAAATACACAACCTCATCAAGATCCATCCTTCCCAGCAACAAGCCAAGATGGCTTCCCTGTGCAGCCACTTCTGGTCAGGATTGGCCTTGGTGTAATGTCAGGGCTCCGGGGTGTGACCAGAGGTATGTGACTGACGCAGGGAAATGCAGGCTTCAGATATGTTATAAACAATAAGACAATTTATTAAAGACTAACAATACAAACATAAACGCAGTGCAATACTAAAACATAACACAGTGCAAACCAAACCAAACCACCCACAGATAACAATATATACAATGCAAGCGTCGTCAGGCAGGCCGGGTCAATAACAATCGGGCAGGTAGAAACAGGGGGTCAGGCAGAGAATGGTCGGGGTCACAAGCCAGGGATGAAACAGGAGAAGTCAGCAGAGGTCCGGAATCAGGCAGGGTCAGCAACGAATCAGACAGAGACAGGAACAGGAATGCAGGAACAAGATACAGGGCCCAGGAAAAACACACACCAAGGCAGAGACTGCAGGTCTGGCCATCCCTTAAATACACCTGTATAATCAACTTCAGGTGTTTGGCTGGCTGCAGGGTTGAGTCTCTGATTGCTGGGAGCACCCGCTGGCCAGCCCTGGTACTGCAGCCCACAAGGCAGGTGAGTCCCACCATTACATGGCAAAACCGCAGAATGTCAGTCCCGAACATTTAATTTACTCCACACAATAATTTACTCCACACAAACAGTGTTCAAACAATGAGAGCTGTTTCCCCATCTCACAGAGGTCTTTAGCTATTGACTCTGCAGACAGTTGATGACTTCTACGCACTGTGCGCTTCAGCATGCTCTGACTCCGCTCTGTCATTTTACCTGGCCTACCACTTTGTGGCTGAGTTGTTGTTGTTCCCAGCTGCTTTCCATTTGTTATAATACCACTAACAGTTGACTGTGGAATATTTAGTAGCAAGGACATTTCATGGATAGACTAGCTGGCAACCAATCATGGTACCACGCTTGAATTCACTGAGCTCCTGAGTGCGACCTATTTTTTCACAAATGCTTGTAGAAGCAGTCTGCATGCCTAGGTGCTTGATTTTATACACCTGTGGTCATGGAGCTGATTGGAACACCTGAATCTAATGATTTGGAGGTGCATCCCATACTTTTGGCAATATAGTGTATGTGGCATTGGAGTGTGCACGGGGGTGAGCGAGGTGCTTTAAAAAAAAAATCTTTATTTTATTTTTATTTATTTCAAAAAAAGGGCTAACAATGCATGTAGTCAGACATAGGAGAAACACTTTCACTATACCTTCACTAATATCATAGTGAGCTATGGTAGCAACAGAAGCAGTCCTTTATGCAGGCCACATTGTGTGGGACATTGAGGTCAATAATAGCATGTGTCACACCTTATACCATCTTTGGTGCATATGTACTGTAAGAAGCTGATTCCAAAGGGTTGACAGTTTTCTTCTGCTGTGTTCATGTTTAAGGCTGTTCAGGTCTACTATGTATAATGCAATTGTTTGCAACACTTTCCTAGGTAGGCCTGCTGGCCTGGCAGATCTGAGAAGGAAAGGTTAACCCTTCTGTTCAGGTCTCCAAGGCTTTTTCCGTGGTTGCCACTACCTGCAGGTCAACCCATATAAATGTGGGCTTACTACTGCTCTGGAAGGAGGCTCTGGAAACAGAGAGCTCCTGGACATACTGAAAGGATGCAACTGTTATGCTGCGGGTTTACCCACTTGTGGGATTCCATCTGGGGTCCAGGAGACATGGATTTACATGGACTTGTGCTTACAGCTACGGAACTTTGTATGGACACTCACTACCTTGCTATGGATTACTTTCATGAACTAGCCATCTGCCTGTTATGGCAACTGTATGGTGCACTAGAGAACTTTGTACAGAAAAGTGATTGGAAAATGTCTGTGAAAACTGTCTGTGTTATTTGCAGCTATGCAGCTATTTCAGTAAAAGATCTGTAAGTGTTTTCTTCAACAAGTTAATCAAGGAATGCATGCACAGAGAATCCAAAGAACAGGGAGTGTATAAAAGGGGATGAACAGGAGATTCCACCACAAAAGGGTAATCGTGCATAGGAGTTGGTGGAAAACATGGCACTGACAGCAGTTCCTTTTTAGGGTAAGGCCAAGAAAAAGTTTAAATTTGTCAACAGTCATGGACACTAAAGTCTGAAGCAAGAGCACTTAGTCTCATTTGGGAGTACTTGTAATCTCATCGGTGAACAGAAAAATGGGACTAGTTAGGATCATCCTGCTTTCACTATAAAATCTGATAAAGTGAATGCTTTGCTGGGTATTGCTGTATCTCAATCTATATATTTCAAGACACCTACAGAACTTCGGGCATCAGGGAAATGCTCAGTATGCACTAAGAACATGTACTGTGCCTGCCTTTTCAGCGTTCATGTACAGGAGGACCTCACTCTGTTTTTATACTTCTTGGAAATACTTCCTCATATTTCAGCAAAAGATGTTGTAAAGTTCAGCTCATAGATTTCCAATCCAATATTATTCTTGCTACATGAAGTTACCATAGCCTTTCTCCACAGAGGACATAGTATCATAACTCTTTCATGGCCAAAGGGCATTGCTATGCATGATGTGCTGCTGACAGCAATATAGTTTTTAATACACGTTGTACTCTGAACTGTATCTGGGAAAAATCTAGTAAAGCATTTTAGCTAGTGTGTATGTCAGCAGATACAGTTTAGTGAATTAAAATCACAAAGTTATAGCAGAATTCTTTCCTCAGTAAAACAAATCCAGAACAGAAGCCTAACATGGCGGGCAAATTAAACAGAAATCAAAATGTTTTTATATAGGAGTACTTTGTAACATTTATCAGTATATTACAGTCATTTTATTTGCTCTTCCAATCATTCTTGATACTCAGTCTGATATCTGTATTTAAAGAGTAACTCCAATGTAAAAAGAAAAATGTATTTTTCATTCATTTAAAAAAGCAGTTTTCTACCTGTAAAATGTTTTCTTTTTATACACCACCAATCTTTAAAGCCTAGTTGTGCCTTGTATTTAAATCAGCAAAATATATTCCAGGTACATCAGAACAAAAGCTGATTAAAGCCTTACAGTGGGTTTTCTTAGAAAGCAGAACAACCCTCAGTAGAGAAGCTTATCCCCTGCCAACATGCTGCCGTTAAGTACAGTATTATATGCAGGGCTTTTTTTCTCAGAGGAAAGGTGGTGGAACTCCCCCACCCAAACCTGGCCACGCCCCCATCAAACCCTAGGACCACCCCTTTAGAGAACAGGAATGCAAGTAAAATTTGGGAGGGGGCTATAAAAGTAAATGTATGGAATTAACACCGCCCCCCCCCCCACATTAGTAAGAATAGCGAGTAACACTGCCCCCCCCCCACATTAGCAAGAAAAGCGAGAAAAAATTGTATCGCCGCTCCTTACCTGATGCTGACGATCCGCGCTATGGTAGGATCGACGAGCAGAGGGCGTGATGACGTCAGCGCGCACCGCCGGGTGTACTAAGATACACCTTTCCTATGGGGGTGGCCGCGCGCCCCCGATGTTTACACGCTGGCGGTAGAGGGGGGGGGGGGTGAAGCGTGCATGTCCCCCGCTCACCGGCTGTGAGCAGCGGCAGTGACAGGTGCCGGGCACGCGCAAGCATGACATAAACAAGCCGCGTCCGGCACCTGTCACTTTCGCTGCTCTGCATAGCTTGTCAGCTCTGCAGAGGCAGTCGGTGAGCGGGGACAAGAAGAAAAAGGTGGCGGAACGCAGTACCGCCGCGTTCCGGCAGAAAGAAAGCCCTGATTATATGTGAAGAAGCAATTGTCTCTTTGAAGAGGTCCAACATGCCCCTTACTTAGTCAAAGCCAGAGCTTTCCAGTCAGAAAGGAGTGTTAGCTGAATCACGGGTCGTCTGTAGGATCTCTACAGCCTCAATTCCAAACAGAAAGGAATAGTCCTTCCTGGCAGCATGCTGGCAAGGAGCAGGCTTTTCTACTCAGCATTTAGCTTTTTTCATATGTACCCTCCTTATATGTGCCTGACATCAGTGTGTTGCATACCACCTTTTCAGAACAGTAGATACTAGTTAGTTTCATGAAGGAATTTTCAGAACATTTGAAATTCAATCACTTCAGGTCTATACTTCCACTCTCAGTCACTAGTTGAGCCTTGAACTGGTGCACCTACTAAATGCAGTATGAGGGCTGATTTCCAT